GGGGGGCGGGGGAAGAAAAAGTCACATTGGATGTTGGTATAAATCCACTGAAGCCAATAGAAATGTTTCAGCTTTGTCCTGAAACATTCAGACCAGCTGAATCTGGTCCAGTGGGTTTTAAAAACTTCAAAAAAGGGCAAAAGGATGTACCAAAGTGTGTGTGTTGTACACAGCTGGTTTGAATAACATTAATTTAAAAAATAATTCCCAGTCTGTCTTTTCTTTTGTTGTTTTTCAGATGATGTTTTTTAAACAGAAAATTAAACAGAATGCTTTAACTCATATTTATAAACTATAATTGAAATATATAATTTTGTACATCATAAGTAAAGAAAATTATTTATGTAAATTAGTTTATTAATAATATTCACTTTATTTCTTCAGAATCCTTTAACAGAGAATAATATATCTGCCCTGTCATTCCTTAGTGTTTGTTTTTTCTGTCTCTAGGCATATGCATTAACAGAAAAGCATACATGAGAGCATGCAGACAAGCGGTTCTCCAGAAGTGATATGTCTCTCAGTATAGGAGTGTTGATTTTATTTTTTTTAAGATCAGGTGGTGTAAATAGACTTCATGGTGTTTTAAGAAGTCATTTATATAGATTAATGGCCTTAGAAATGTGTCTGGTGTTTATGGGTTGCTGCTCTCTTTACTTAGTAAGCATCAGGCAAAAAATATTTCCTGATATAATATTGTAATAAAATATTATGAACATATGAGAACTTTTTGTAGAGGAGGGTAGATTATGGGTGAATTGGTAGCTTAGCTTACACATTTTCTGTTTTATTTTTATGAAAGCACTGGCAAAACCTGCACATTTTGGGGGAGGGATGAGGATCTTAGAAAATAATATTAACTGCAACATTTCTAGTCTTATTGAAATAACCCAAAACGATAATCTAATCCATGCCCCTGTCCAATGCAGCCTCAGATACACCTATCCATTCCTGACAGATACTTGTCTAACTTTTTCTCACAGACCTCTCTGAGACCTGCTATCCTTGTCAAACTAGTCTAGATCTCCCCTCTCCTTAATATTAAAAAGTTTTCCTTAAGATGGAACGTTAACTTTCTTCCTGCAATTTAAACCCATTCCTTTTTGCATTTTTCCACCATGGAATAACTCATAAATAGATAAACTATAATCACAGGTTTGCCGTATTGGAAGGGTTCCATAATCCCTTCAGTCTTTTCTTCTTAGGCTAAAACACCATTTTTGAATAACTGCACTTTCTAGACCTCTGTTCATTGTTCTCTTCAATTTTTCTGTATCCCTCTTGATATGCCTCCCCCACAGCTGGACACAGTACCCCCTCCCCCCAAAAAAAGCTATAATGCAGCATATAATGGACCGATTACATTTTATGATTTCCAGACTAGGCTTAGGTTTATAGTTCCTGTTGCAGCATTTGGGTTAGTAGTCCTCTGTAGCCCCTCATCGTTTCTTTAGAGCTTGCTCTCTAGCCAGCTGTTTTGCATCCTATCTTCGTGCAGTGGATTATTCTTGCTTACGTGCACTGTCTTGCATTTGTCTGTGCTGGGGAGCCTGCCACTTCCTCAGAGCACACTGCCAGTTTGTCACGATCATTCTGCGAATTCTAAGCCCGGTTTCCATCTCTCCCCACTTGGTATCATCTATGTGATTTAATAAATGCATCCACTGTTCTGTCATCCAGGTCATTGCCAGATATATTATGGCCTCTAAGATTAATTTGAGGGGAATATAAAGTAATATATGTTGTTGAAAGGACTAATGCTATGTTTAGTCATTCTAATAGCGGCCCTTAGAATACTAAAGCAGGAGCCATGCTGGTGAAGTGTATGAATGTACAGGGACTTGGGGCCTAGAAAAAAGATGGAATTGGCAAGTAATAATAGGATAAAAGCCAACAAGATCTGTCTTCCTGTGGAATTACAGCCCCACTTCCTAATAATGTGATAGTGACTGAACTAGACATTGAACTGGAGATAAGAGAAACAATTATTCTGTTGAGGCCAGGCTCACTTTTCCCATGCATCTTAGATTCGAGCGGTTTATGAATGTCACCAGAGTACAAGCCCCTGCCTCCATGGTTTGTCTTTTCACTGTGGATTAGAGATTGGGTAATGAGTGTGTTGCTCTCGGCAGCTGACTGCCTTTTCTTGTACTGACATAAAGGAGAATCTCCTTAAGCTACTCTCAGGAGAACCATAACTAAATTTGCGATTCACTTTCTGCTCTCAGGAGAGTAGGATAGAGTTCTGTGATGTCTGGACCAGGGATCTCCCTTTTCATAAGGGACTTCAGAGATGCGTTTACTATTTTTTTTGCTGCCTTGCAGCCCTAATAACTTGGATCACTAAGTCCCACAAGTTAAAAGGGGCAGGTTGTATTTGATTAGAAAACTGTGGCGGCATTCTGGCAAATGGTGGAGGTATGAAAAAATAGATTTGTTCCTTCGTTACTTCACGTCAGCTTGGAACGAGTGCTGTAGCAGACTCGTTTTGCAGTGTGATGCTTTGAATGAGCCTTCACAGAGGTATTTCTTCCCTCTTAAATTTAAACTTGCCCAATTCTTTCTCAAGGCAAGAATTGCAAGGTGTCATTGGACCACAGTGGAGCATTGCACATTGAAACGTAAGAGGCAGGCTGCGATCCATATTTAACCTGTTGGGCTCACTTTTTGATGTTTCTCTTTTATGCTAAACCTGAACGTTGGATTATGCACCACAGCTGCAGTTTTCTAGGCTCTCTGAATTGCAAAAAAGACCCGAAGAGTTGCTCCAAACTCAGGAGGAGGTGAGTTCTCTCAGTTCTCAGTAAATCTTCATGGAAGATTTATCCCTCTGTTGCCCATAGTTTTTCTTCATTCCCTTTAAGAAAAAAAAAACAAGAAACCCAACAACACACTAGCGCCAGCAAACAAGGTTTATTTGAGCTCTAGTAATTATATCTGTCTGGGAGAACAACCAAGGTGTCAAAGTATCAAAGTGAAATTCAGAAAAGTCAAGAGCAAGTAGAGACTCGAAGGGGTAAAAGGGAAATAGAAAAAACCTCCTGGTCTTTATTATGGTAATAGTAATGAAGCCAAGCTGAAAAAGCGCAGACAATGGGCTAAGTTACTGTACTATAAACTGCTTCCTGCCACTGGGTTTCACAAATCAACTTTACTAAGCTGATTAGGGAACTACAGAGCCACTCCTGTTGTTTCTGACTCTCGAGGGAGCTTGCCAAGCCTTAAGATTTCTGCCATTCAGGGCATTTCTGGTTCTTATTGCTGAGAAATGGAAGAGAAGAAAGGACTGAAAAAGTGAACTGTTTTCTGCGGTTTACTCTGTAGAGATGGGGAGTGTTTGGGCTGGGCAAAACAACATTTCTTCTGCTGGAGAGCATTGCAGCCTCCTTACAGGGGGCTGAGCATCCTCCCAGGCAGGCTCCCTGCTGTGCCAGCTGGGCCCTGCAGCACTGCTCATTCCCTGGCAGTTGGGTGTAGGAGGTAGTGGTTAGATTCTCTTACTTGACCCCCTCTCCCCAAATCTCCAAGCTGTTTTTGTGTTTGGCAGCATGCTGGAGATGGACACGAGCTCTGTTCCAGAAGTGGTTCACAGCCTGGGCTCCAGGAACACCAAAGATGCCCCTTCTGCTAAGCTGCCCTGCAGCCTCTGTGCTTGCATGTCCCTTCAGGGGATTTAGCCCCTCAGGGCTGCAATCAGGCTTCTAATCAATTAGGCAAATTGACTGCAGGGTTAAGCTATTTCCTATTCATGGCAACAAGCCTGGGTTACATTAACTCCCAGTTTCCCAGGAGCCTCGATCCCTCCACCTTGTTTTTTCTTTTGAGATGGGACAAAAGGACAAAATTGTGAAGAAGGAGAGGAGATCCTAGTAACAATGGATATGGTCTGCTACTGCAAAATCAAAATAACTTAGCAAAGTGTGGGAAGATTTTGGTGACCCTTTTAAAAAACATAATAATTTGGATTCAAAGGTAAAGAGATAGATTTACCAGTAGGCAGTTATGGGAGCGTTTACTCTTTCAAAACCAGTCTTCCAAAGACACAGTGTACATGAGCAGCCCTACCACAGTCCATACAATTACTCAGAGAACTAGTGCTGTATGTATTTAGATCTATGGGTGCTACAGAATGTTACTTACAGAATACAACTTTTAAAAGTCCCAAGGACAGAAGTTCCAGGTGAAAATTAAGCTGCACTTTCCTACTCTGATGCTCTTCATAGCAGAGATTTATTTTTATCAGGCTCTGCAAGGAGTTATGCGTGAACAAGTCACTGAAGTCACCAAGACTCCACATTAGGTTCAAGGTTCTACTTGTTCAAAGCTTAGTGGAGGATCAGGGAAAAAGTATGTGAAGTCTGTTCTTCTTAAACATTATTCCAGATACACCAGCCTTTTAGTTTCAGAGGTTATTTCCAAAGGCTATACTATTGCATCTGATTTCATTTGCTGTTGCAGGAGTTCAATGCAGTGTAACTTCTTGCCTAGGGCTACATACAGCACAGAAAAGCCAGCCTACACCGTGCTGTAATCAGTTGCTTTTTGGTCTGAGCAGCCCACTAAGCCCATTGTCTGGGTTAGGCTCTGTTCTTGTTTTATTTCTACAACCCCACCAGTTGCATTAGGCTCACTCTAATAAACAGCAGAATGTGGAAGGTGCTGCATAATGAGTCACCAATATCAGTTCACATATTAACAATGGATCTTGCAAAGAGATTGATTACTGAAGCGTAATTCTTACTGCCTTAGGGCCAACCTGAGTTGGTCCCCAAGTCACTCAAGACTTCTAAGGTTCAAATAACTCTCATTAGAAATAACATACCTTCTTGATTTTGACTGGAGTTGCTCCCTTCAGGAGGCAAGAAATTGAATTCATATAGAAAGGCAAAATTAAGAGTTAGTGAATTGGCCAAAGCCTACACATACAAAAATTGAAGACTGTTACAATTAAAAATTGCTACCCAGAGTCATTAACAATGACAGTGTATCCATTCATTGCAAATTATGAGCTGAATGTTATATGTGTAAGGGTGACACAGTCACACAGTGAAATAAATGAAAGGCAGAGAATGTTAGTTACAAGTCATCTTTGCTCACTGGACTAGTCAGCAGAATAGGGGAAGCCATGCACAGAACTGAGGCTAAATAGATAAAATCCCAAACTTTATATGTTTTAATATATGTAATATAAAAATATATGTTTATAAAGAACATTAAATGTTATTGGAGCTATCCTGATATGATACAAACCAGAGTCATTTAACCTCAATATTTATACTTTGGATTTATATTGCTGTAAGTCTAATTCAGGTCCTTAAATATCAAGGGTTATACAGGATTGTAAAGATAACTGTTTTTCTCCTGTTTGATCTAAATATGAAAGTTCCTCTAAGTAAGCTGACAGTTTCTATATTGTGTTACAATGATGCAATATGTTTTTTACCCACAGTACAGAATTTCTAAGAGGAGTAAGAAATATTTCGAACATAAAAAGCGTCTTTTTTACTTGCATCATATCTATCATCTTGCCTTTCTTAATATGGCGTCATCCAAGAGGTCAGTTACTGTCATCATATATTCTTTTTAACCTATTCAAAGACGTTTTCAGGTCTCCTGAGTTTCATCTGAGATAACAAATAGCTAGCTCCATCATTTAACAGATTTCTGCTGAAGACATTTTTTTGGAAGACTATTGTGCTGACATTTGTTTTACAGGCATTTATTTTGGCTTCCCCATTTGCAAAAATGATGGCTAGGTTTTATACATAGCTGTTAATCACTGAGTACATAAATGATGGAGCAAAAAATGTAACAAACCTCTGATCATTAAAACTAAGATGACTGTATTGTTCCCATGTTAACCATGTGCTCAGAAGAAAAAAAAAATCAACAAGTATGTATATGAAAAGCTGATTAAACTTCAGATTTATTTCCCCATATATGACAACAAATTTTGGCAAAGCAAGGTTATAAATTTGCTCTGTTTCAAGCCCCTTGTTGCATGAGTGAATAAGTTTCTCTTGGACTCAAAGGCCTTAGAAACAGAGGACCAGATTTACATTTACATAAAATCCCAGTTACATTAACTGCAGATCACTATATTCCTATTTCAAAGTACTTTTGCACCTACTAAAGCAATAAAGTAGAAAGGTAATGCATATCAGTCTAGAACCTGCAGTACTGGGGTGACAACCTCCATTTGTTCTGGTTAAGGCAGTCCTCTCCTTATGGAACCTAATTCTTGTTTTAGCAAAGCTGATGGATCTCTTTGCAAACATCTTGTTTGAGCCTTTGAGAAACACTTAGGAATACAAATGGCTTTCCTGACAGTAATATTGTCTCCTTAAGATGGTGAACAAGCTTAGTGTTTTGGTGGTCCTTCATACTTGGTTATGTTTTCTTCAAGCACAAAGTTACAGTGAGGCTCCATCTTAGGTAGGAAGCTAAGATATCTAAAATTGACACTGATCCCTCTACGCTTTCCAGCCCAGGAAAACCTGTTTCCTTACTTGAGCTCTGTTGAAGCATTTGCTTTCATCACAGAAGACCCTCAGCCCTCTAGCTAAGCAGCAGGCTATTTATAACACCAAGGGAGAAACACTACAAGCAATGTATGCAGTTTTTGAAGGTAGTTTCACAGTTAGGTCACAGGGATGCCATATGGCACAAGGGGCAATGATTTGGCAGTGATGATAATATCTGTTCTGTATTCAGACTGATGAACTTTACTGCTTTCCTCCAAATGTGTTTCTTTATTTGGTGTCACCTGGAACAGACGGCTAGAGCAAAACAACCAGTTTGCAGATGTTGAAAATGAGTGCAGTGTCCATGATCTGGTGAGTAATCAAATGACTACAGCTTTCTTCTATGCCTCTGCTTTTTAATAGAGTCTACAAGGCAAAGTAAGGACTAAAGCATCTTTCTAGAGTATTGCTAAAAGTTATGTGTGTGTCTGTAAACTAAAACTAACTGCTTCATCATGAAAACTCACAGCAGATGGACAGATCGGTGGTCGATATAGGAGGCAGAGACAGAACTTCTGCCTTTAAACCACTGCGCGGTTTGATGTAACTGATATGATGGGCTGAAACAGCAGAAATTTGGTGAACAGTTTGTAGGCAGACAAGGACGGTAGTCTGGATGCCCTCTCGTACTTTTAGCTTCTTTTCCTCCTGACTGCTGAAGTTAACCAAAAGCTTTATTTTAAAGGTTCCTTGTGAAATTCCACTTCTGGTAGTTAGTGGTAAATCTGCCAAGAACATTGGATGGGCAGAAGTCTACATCTTCCGTTTTCAACCTCTCCCCATTACACATGTATTTGCAGAGAGAATGGAATCGGGTCCTGTCCACATTGTAACTACAGCCAGTTCAGGTGGCTTGGTGATACCACTGTTAAATGGTATCGTTTGTGTCTCCATTGTGTAGATAGAAATTAAATGAAAAAAAACTGTCCACAAACATCGAATTATACATTTTAAATAGTTGTTGGATGTAAATTTCACGTTTCTGTCAGCCTGCATGTTAGAAATGTTGTATTCTTGGTATTAATCAGAACAAAAAAATCTGACTAATTTGTCTAGATCTCGCAGGCTTTAAAGCTGGGTTATGACATCCACTGATATCTACTATCCACTTAAAAACCTTTCAAGCAAATCATATCGGGATCTTAGGTAGCAAAAACCAAGGTGTGGGTACTGTGTGCCTTTGAAAAATAATAAACTAAAAGTGAGGCTTGGTTCCTAACAGAATAAATGCAGTTAAGATATGCTGTCATGAATTTATAAACATTTTTTGTGAAAATACCTCCATATCTTGTTTTTCACCTGCAAATTTTAATTATTAAAACTGAACACAACCCATATGCTGTGAGAGCTTTTATTTATAAGGAAGTGGAATTTCTAGAGAAAAGTGTTCTTTTAACAGAAATTCCTGAAAGTGCTAGCTGCACTGTCTTCTCAAACTGTTAAGAAGTTTTTCTATTTCACCATACCATACTGTGCTTACACTTTTCATGTATGTATGATCAACTTAAGTCCTTTGTTTGTGATCTGTACCTTCTGAGATCTGTCTAAACCTAGCGTTGGACAAAAATAAAATACTATTTGCCAACTGATGATCTATCAGTGAATTGAAAAAATAGATAAATTGTATATAAAATATTTCTCATCTCTAGATTCCTTCAGATTCTGGCAAAATGCAATAGCAAAATAATCTGTTGGAATAGTATGTCACAAAGCATTAAAACGAGAATTTAAAAAGCCTGTTTATGACACTGCAGTTATGTTTTTGTAGCTATTACAGAACAAAAGTTCTGTTTATCTAAGACTCCAGTACTTTATGACTTTATACTGAAAGCAAAAATAATGTTAACTGTAGTAAGACCTGGAGAAAGCCTCATGGTTATAACATACCATAAAAGGTAATGCTAGAGACTTAATACAAATACTGTATCTGAAAGATGAAGGGAAAATCTGAGAGTAAGACCCATTTTGTTCAAAATGAACATTTGATTTTTTTGATATATGAATAACATACTTAAGCAAAACAAGAGCCATATTTCAAGCAATAAAAGAAAATAAAAAGAAATAAGCAATAAATAAATATTTTCCTCCTTTGTTTGGTATTTTACTGAAAAATATCAAAGCCAGCATAACCCTTGAATGGATCTGCCAGATGCTGGGACATTCTTAATAAATGCAGGGAAGTATGGCTCTTAAAGAAGCAAAACCTTTCAATGCTGTTCTTTCACAGGCTTCTCTTGGATGATTTCTCTGATTATTTTTCACGTTCTGTACTTAAGAGGTAGTGTGTGTAGGTATTCAGTCTGACTGTCACTCTCTCAAAGCAAACCCACATAAAACAGTTATTTTTGGCAGGAGTTATCTTACCTATTTTTAAGGTTAGTCACCTAATGTTCTGCAGTCAGCGGGGAAAGACGGGCAGTGTCAGTGGACGGTTTATCCTGACTAGAGGCAGGCGTGCAAGGCAGGCTCCTCTGAATCTATTCACCCTCTTTGACTAATGAGGAACCTTAGATGGCTAACTTGTAATCGAGTTAGCCATGAATCTCCCTGTAGTAACTGCCAGAAACGTTCACTCTTCTATATTCCAAAATTCAATCTAAAATTAATGTCCAGGCTCAAAGACAGGCAATAGTTTTAGTAACTACTGGGTATTATCTAAAGCTTGAGGTAACGATGCGTTCAGTTCTGAATATGCTGTTGATTGTTACCGTATGTGATCCCTTTAGCTGTTTGTAGTATTCTCCTGCAAATGCGCAGAGCTGCTTTAGATTACTTACAGTGATTTTGTGTTTCTCCTATCTCAAGATGATTTACTTATTTCCAAGTGAACATAAATCACCATGTGCCACTAAGAGAGAGACGGAGGGAAATGTATTTCCAGGCTTGGCAGGAAGGAAACAGCAGGAACAGCATTGCAAGAGATCCTCTAAAGCACGCACGCTTTTCAAAGAAATGAGAAATGAAGATAACGGAGCCATTGAAATGTGAGTACATTTTCTCTACATAGATTTGAATCAGTATATTTCCTAGACCACCCCCATTCTTGAAGGAAGTCCTATGTAATGGTTATTTCTACAGGAATAATAATAGCTCCTGTGAGTAAAATGCCTGTATTCTCTCATGCAGACTGAAAGCAGAAACTTGTTTTATATTAACAGTAAGGTCTGCAACCCCTTTTTCCTTTTGTAACTGTGATTCAGAACAATGCAGTTCTTAAAGTAATCACACATTCAAATACAAGTAGGTGTGAGCTTTCAAATATACTGAAAGTGAATATTCAGAACATCACATCCTGGTGTTTGCTTCTGAAGTTAAGAAAAACCTGCTGTGCAAACCAGGATGCATGTTTTAAAAAGTCCATAACTGTTATTTTGAAGCCAGATTTCTTCAAACGGAACAAGGCACATATTTACCTTCCAGGGATGTGTGCCATTTGTGCCAACTTTGGTACTGTTAAAAGAAACTGATTTTGAGTTTCTCTGAATGCAGAAATGCATACAAATAAAATTTTCACAGCTTGTTTATAGATAAATTTGTTTTGCTGTTCTGGAGTTAACGCTTTACTAATGATTCATCTTCAGTTGTGGGGGTAGATGGTGTGAAATTATACTGCCTAAGAAGAGACGTTTTAAGTAAATTAAAAGTAAAAAATAAGTTTATTATAACAGAAGATTGGTACCTAATATAATTATTTTGTAAACATACCACTATGCTGTGGACATGAAAATCGGGCCATTAAATTAATTATAGTAAGCTTTCAGAGAAGCGTTTGATGTATCTTGCAGTCCAGAGGATTGGAAATCGAGTGTCAGTGATTTAGCCCTACATGAAATGACCACTGTGCCTCTAACCCTTGAAGATGTGGCTCTGAAACATCCAGTGCTGGTATGTTGGTCCTCATTTATTCTACGTCCTCATATTCAGTTCCATAAAACCTGGGGACATCAGGTACCAAGACTGAAGGCTTTGTCCAATTTCTGAACTGCTGAAGAGAGATTTGGGTTTGACTTTGCTCTCAAATCTCAACACAGTGACAACACAGAGTCTCCAACCCTATTTTCTGTGTGTAGGCAAGCATGTATCGCTATTAGTACTAGATCCCTAAAAGATGGTATTAGAAACTTGAAGTATAGTTTCTCAGGGACCTAGTTATAAAATAGTTTAATAACCTTAGAAGTACATGGATACTTAGAGAGGCTGATGACTCCTTTACTTCTAACAACTGTTATGTCTTACTTCCTTTAAAGGTAAATACCTATTTTCTACTACCTTGCCTAAAATTTTAATCATAGAGGAAACAGTACTTAAAAGAGGGCTCCTCTAATTTACTTCTACAGAGCTACATGACTGTAGATATACAGACACAGACTCTAGCTTTTACCCTAAAAACCAGTATCAGCCACTGCAGCAAGAGAATAGAGAATGTTTTCCTCTTTAACACAGATTTTAATAGTTTATCTCAATTATTTTTGGGTTAAAATTCCCTTAAGATAATACAATTCTGTAGTATTATTTAGGACATCAGAATCAGATCTGATAAAAAATAAGAATGAACGAATTTTGAACTTTGACTCGGTCTGGCAATAGCAAAGCTGCTTTTTGATTAAACAAACAAACAAATCCCGCAACTAAAACACTGATGTTCCTGGCTCAAAATGTGTTATTTCAGTTTGTTGGAATGACACAAAATGCTCTGGGTCAATTCACTGTTAACCTATATTCTTAGTATGTCCTTCTGACTCATGGGACCTTAATTCGCATGAAATCAGAAGCACAGACTACCTGTGTCAGACTCCCACATCCGGTATCTCACGTAAATATGGGACGTGCAGCCCAGCCGAGGCAGCACCAGTGGGAATAAGCCACCATCCTGGTGTGGAATGTGTCTCATAGATGGGCAGGTGTTGGACTTGGCTCCCAATACTTAGACCAGTTCAACCTACTGAAACGATAGGACTCAGATTTGACTTACAATTGGATTTTTTGTCTTGATTAAAGACAAAAATTGACCTTGGATTAGGTCAAATTAAATATGTTCTATGAAAATGCTTTCTTCTGCAAATATTATACCTTCTTTCCTGCTTAAATAAGTAAATAAAAATCCCATCAAACCCTTATCAGAAGTTTTCAATTGACCCAAACTTTAATTTCTAACAGTATTTGTAACAAAGTACTAAATTATTTTATAACAAGCTATTAGAACTAAAATGATGATAAGTCTCTTGCTCAAGACTGATTATATTAATTCTTCAATACAATGCTGAACTTCTGTTTGTTTTTTAATTTTAGGAAGCTAAATCAGTCATTACTTATTGGACTAATTATGCAGATGAAGAAGAAGAAATTCCCTAAAGTGGAATAGAACAACTGAAATGTAGAAGCTTACAGTAGAAATTGCCTTTCTTTAATTTCTCAAAAAGTTGCAGCAGTTATAGACTATATATATACACACACACACACACACACACACAGGAAAGTCAGTGTATTAATGATCACCCTGGCCCCATATGAAGAAAAGAATTTTACTACTTACTAATCAGGCTTGTATTTGAATGTAAAACTAACATTAACATTTCAAAACGCAATAAATAGATCTTTTTCTCTGAAAATTGTCCTTCTCTGCACTTTTGCTATCTTCTTCTTCTGCAGCAAATTTGCAACATAATTTTTCAGGATGGTTGTTACTACTGTAACTGGAAGATTATATTGATATGCTGTAATCAGAATTTCTCAGTCTGAGCTATTGCACTTACACTACAGAAAATCACAATACCAGAGCTTTTTGTTAATTTTGTGCTTCAACTAACGTGGAGGCAAATGTTTTCCAATGTAAGGTCTTCCGTGTACCAATATGTATAACAAAACAGAATATGAAACAATAAAGGAAGGCTCTGAGGAAACAGGATATTAAATGTACTTGAATTCAGAAGTTCCTCATATTCTTGGTGTTTTGGAGAAAATGTTCTCAGTGTAATTTAGTGAAGGACTCTGTACCTCTCATATGAGTGGGCAATCTTATACTCAGTAACTGTTTAGAGAAATAAACAGATCACAGACTTATGTAGTAGAGACAAGGCACTTAACAGTATGAGAGAGAACAGGACTGCAGAGGGGAGAGACAAGAATGTTTAAAAGAATCAAGTAAGCTTAATGGAGAAGAAAAAAAACCTCACAGATGCATCGCAATAGCTGTCTAGAAGTAGATAAGGTCACTAAGAGCTAGGAGTTTCAACAAAACCAAACAAGTTAATACTAATTTATGAGAAAGGGAAATATGTAACCCAAAAAGTTTAATATACATAAAACCCTCCAAAGCTGTATATACATAGAAGCTGGTTCCCTTTCTCTTAGAACATGAAATGGACCATCAGAAAATTCTGTCTTCCCATCACAGCTGGGAATTGCAGGGCAAGTTTAGTGAGGTACGTGACCGCCCTCTCAGGTCCCTATGACCAAAGTGGCTAACTCTCCATCCCTTTACCCACGCACGAAGTCAGAATGCCAGTCACATCCCCCCACCTCTACTCCCTTTCACGCTGCAGGAGAGGGGCTTCTGCAGCTATTACAAGACCGTAGATGAATTCCCACTGCTAAGTGAGTAAGCCTTTGTAGCATATTTACCACATTGCAACCATGCAGAAGAGATTAGTTTTAAGGCTTGTTATCGCCCTAACTACTAGCAGGCCCAGTGATGCATATGTAAGTAAGTGCAATGTAAACTTCATTACAGAAAAAGGAAGCTAGAGAACAAAAATGGCTTTACGTACAGAAATGGCTGCTGTTTGTGTGTGTCTTGTACAGAACACAACCAACATATCTCAAGACAGAGGCAACTAAAAATGGTAAATATGTCAAAGATGAAGCCAGTGATGACATTTTACAAAACAACAAAAATAGGACTCGTGAGTGCACTTTGCAAGAGCGTGGTTGTTCTGATAACAATTCATGTTCATAGTATCTTCCTGAAGTTGATAGGCAGTGCTCGCTTTTGAGCTGTTTTTTCGGGGTTGATCAAGAAATTGATGTGTCCAGCTTTATTACTGAAACAATTCAGAGTTTAACCCCATTCATATCAAGGTAAGTAGCTTCATTTCTAACTACCATTTTCAGTGCTCCGGATGCAGCACATAAGGCATTAGGGGAAAAAAAAAAAGTCCAGTAAAGAAAGCTTATTAGCTGTTATTCGTATCTTAAAATAAGTTTTAAAAAAGAAGGAAACAGTTTTAGTAAAACAAGGTATCCTCTTTCTTTACCTTATACTTCACACAGCAAGCCAGAGAATAAAAAATGCTATTTACAACAGACAAGCAAGATTTCAAAAGGGATTAGTAAAGAAACATTTTGTTTAAGTCAATTCGCCTAAAATCCAGAACAAAGGTTGTAGGATTTTTAAATGGTATATTTCTGCACTTAACTGCTAATAAAAGTGCCTACCTAATTGTTAGGCCCAAGAGTTATATGAGAGGGACCATTAACATGTTGTTCTGTTTTTGAAGTATCTCTCTGCATTAACATAGGGCATTGTAGTGCAGATTACATTGAAATGCTGACTACTCTGCTGTAATATTGGTAGGAGGAAAACATTCAATCCTACAGTAAAGAATTAATTTTTAGTTAACTATTAGCACAGAATAGGTAAGTATTACTCTGTTTTTGGTCTTTTAGATGCTCTTCTTCACAACTGCATATACATATATCAATTTCCCATGAATGTTTGGTATTTCTGCTTTCCACAAAGAAATGGTTTCTACAAAGATTCTTTACCTCAAACAAAGCAGTTACATATTCAAATGGTAAAAAACATTTGACGTTAAAAGTCAACTTCTTCCTGCTAAACCTCCTGTACCTCATGAGAACTGGAGCAGGAAACATCACAAAATTTAAGTTTTAGATGTATGGGAAACTTAAATTACTGTAGGTCAACTTAATTTTCTTTGCAGCAGTTAGCACTATCTAAGAGAAACCAATAGTTATGAGCTGCTAAAAATAAATGCATTTAGATCAACATGACAAGATCAACAGAAGTCAGTATCTGTAGCCTTACCACATCAGTTTTTGAGCTTTACATTTTCATATCTAATTGTTTTTGTCCAAAGTGAATTAGGTGCCATGAGAAAGAAAAAGAAAAAAAGTCAATTGACATAACCAGAACAAAAGAAACATGTTTCTTTACATATGCTAAACGTTTCCCTCTGTGTGTTTATGTGTTGTCCCTTTGCGGGTGCAGACTAAGAGTGGATATGAATACTGAATTTATTCTAACCTGAAAGCTATACTTCTTCCATCTTCTCTCCTTCCCTGTCCTCTTTGTTCTTTCCTCTAAACAAAGAAGTTTCTCCTACCAGGCTGCTCCTCAGTTTGCTCAAACTCCTCTCCTTTGGGCTTTCATTCCCTCCTCACTCCATGGCCCCTTCCCCCACCTTCTTGCCCTTCTCTCGTCTGTTCTCGCTGACTTTCCATCCTCCCTCGCCAGTGGTGCTGCCTCTTTGTTCCCACAGTACTCCTAAGCTGTGCAGCAGGAGCCAAGCTCTCTTTTTTTCTTTTTTCTTTCTTTTTTTGTGAGTGGGGGAACCTGGAAGACTTGAAGGCCCAACTGACAGCAGACAACAAGACCACAGAGGAAAAAAAGGAGCCATAACATGCCTCAGCAAAACACTATCATAAAACACAGCCATATTTTCTTTCAGGTGATGCAGAAGTGCCAAGAAAGATTCCTGGGACACATGCAGCTCGCATGCAGTTATGACACATTGGTGTTTAAGCTGTTTGTATAGAATTAAGGACTTTCCTGTCATAACATGTTTAACACATTTTTAGAGGTAATAAGCATATTTATATCTGTGCAGCAAAGCAAGCGGAAGTTAAGGTAAGTCCTGCTATGAAACAAGCTCCCTTGGGTTTCCTGGCAATGCTGTGGAAACTGAAGATGCCTACAGCTGCCTCATCCTAATATCACGGATCAAAACAGTCAAGTGTTGCTCTGCAGCACATCACGTTATGTTGACTTTATACAAGAATTCTCATGCTTCTTTAGGTGTCTGTGAAAGCTGGCAAACACTAAGAGGCACTAAGAGAATTTCTCTAAAAGTTCCATTTCTGCTCATTGTTCCTGCACCACTCCTTCGCACAGAACTGAAATTTGCTAGGAGTATTTCCACCTGAGCACCCTCCCACCCCCCTGATTTAAAACAGTGAAATTCTACTTGAAGAGGCAATTTAAAGAGGCCGTAAGGATTCTAAAGCTGGCCCAGTCTTTTAATCACAACTGTGACAAA